AAAAAAAAAAAAAACACTGAGACATTTCTCAAAAAATGTCATTTATGTTTCATAGAAGAAAGCCAATAAAATGACATTCAACAATGGAGTGAGGTAGGGTGAGTAAATGACTACAAAAAATTCTTAATTTTTGGATGAACTATCTCTTGTACTGCAGTACATGTTCACAACATCTCTCGTAAATCTTATAATAAGCAGGTCTCACTTCTTGGTAGCCAGGTTCAGGTACAGCTGGCTGATCTTCTCCAGTATCTCTCCCTCTAAGCTCTTGTCTCCAATCCGCTGAAGAAGGTTCAGCTGGTGCTCGTTGTAGATGATACACTGGGCTTCATCCGGACACACCTCTTCGTAAAGCTGACACAGGTGACGTGTGGCTTGCAGCTGACCTGATGTCATACAAAGAAGAATATATTTTGGAGAGGTAAGTCTGGTGATCAGCAAACCTGATAATAAACTGGACTGGATGTGGACATAATAGAATGTAGCAAGGTGGTTAAATTTATGAATGCATTTTTTATTCAGAATAATGTCCACAGACATGAACAACACTATGGACAAGTATCAAAGGGATAGTTCACCCAAAAATAAATATTCTGCCATAATTTACTAACACTTATATCATTCCAAACTGACAAGACATTCATTCATCTTTGAAACACAAATGAAGATATTTTTAATGAAACTGATAGATTGGTCTCTCCACTGTTATAACACTTTGATGCTTTAAAAAGTTGATCAAAACATTGTAAAAGTAATCCATATGAATTTAGAGATTTAATCCAAGTCGTCTTGTTCTCACACGCCATGTATGAAGTTTGTTCTCACATGTCGCAAGCATGTTTGAGCCAAATGCAAGAACCAATGAGGTTTGTTCTCGCACGTCAAATATGGCCGACTTTCCAATGTATGTGCGTTAATTCATGTTTGTATGTAAATAAAAGCCTTAATTAAATCTGTTCATAATATAAAGCAATGGTATACCTTCAGAAGACTGGAATGGATTAAACTGCTCAATGTTTTATGGATTGTTTTTATGATGTAATTATGAATTTTTTTTAAACATCAAACTTTAGGTGGAATGGACCTTCAACATACAGAAATCTCACAGGTTTAATTAAAAAATATGTTCACTGAACGAAAGTCTTATTGGTTTGGAATACAGTGAGGGTTAGTAATTGATGACAAAGTTAAGTTTGTTTGAATTATCACCTTAA